ACATAGAATTTTCCGGGAATCGCAGCTAGATTTTGTTCTAAGTTTTATTTTACACGTGTAAATGTTTTGTCTTCATGCATATATGGACACCATGTGCATGCAGTAACCTTCAGAGGCCAGAAGAGGGTGTCAGAAACCCCTGGAACTGGGAGCTGAGACCTGAATCTGAGCCCTCTTGCAGGAGCAGCAAATGCTCGTAAACTCCGAGCCATTCCTTCTGATTCATCAAATAGTCATAATTCTAAAACATTCTGTTTCTCTGCCGAACATATTGTCCCTCCAAGATTTTCTGGTGTTAATACAATGATCTTATTCAAGTATTCCCTTACTATTACTGTATATATTTTCAATAGACTTAATTCCATAGTTCGTTGTTTTTGTACTTGTTTTGAGACAAGGTCATTTATCCCAGCCTGTCCTAGAATTTGCTAAGTAACCGTGGATGACCTTAAGCTTTTGCCCCTCCTGTCCCTAGCACCTGCGTTCTAGGGCTGCAGGAATGAGCCACTACTGTTAGTCAGCTTCCCATGTCTTCTTTTCTGAACCTATTTCTATTAATTTTATTTAAAATACAAAATACACACAAATAGAGTTTGGTGATGATTTTTTGTTTTGTTCCCCCCCCCCCACGTTTTTGCTTTGTTTTGATTTGTGTGTGAATTAAACACAAGATCTCTTGATTTGTGTGTGGCTAAACACAAGGTCTCACACCTTAGGCAAACTGCTGCCTTTCTAGCACTGTTTGCTCGGGCTATAATCCCGAGGAAGCTGCGAGTCAGCGAGAAGGCCCCCAGAGGGCAGCACTGGGAAGGCTCCTCTCGCCCTAGCCTTCCCTGTGTGGCTGTGGGGCTCGCAGACGTCATTTTCCATCAGGTTTCTGGAGCCCCTGATCGAGACCAGGGAGCTGTTTGCAGCAGCCTCGTTGCTTGTTGGTTGGCATTTCAGCTGTCCTGGGAGTTTTCCTTTTTTTTTTTTTTTTTTCTTCCATAGCAGTCAGTCTGGGAAGCAAGGTCCAAACATCGTCTTGACCCACTCTTCCCATTTATTTATTTATGTATTTATGTATTTATTTGGAGTTTTCTTGATAATAAAAGCGGATATGAAAATCTATCCTTGGTACTCCTCCAGTAAGTCAGTCTGCCCAGCCATCATTTGCAGGCACAATTAGCATTTGAGGTGAAGTTCTGTTATACACTCAGGCTGTGGCTCTGAAAGTCAGTGCATCACAGAACTTTGTCTCGAAAGCTTTCTAGCAGCTGCCCATTTGGGAAGTGAGAGGGAAGAATAGATCTTTTCAGCCCTTTGAATATGGTCCTAAAATTGTAGGGTCTTTTCCAGGAGTCAGCCTTTTTTAATGTATTACAAGGTCAAAGCCCAGTCCATGAGTAAGCTCATTTCTTCTTTCTTCTTTTTTTTTTTTTTAAGATTTTATTTATTTATTTATTATGTATATAGTGTTCTGCCTACATGTATGCCCACAGGCCAGAAGAGGGCACCAGATCTCATTGCAGATAGTTGTGATCCAACACGCAGTTGCTGGGAGTTGAACTCAGGACCTCTGGAGAGCAGTCAGTGCTCTTAACCTATAAACCATCTCTCCAGCCCAATGAAGCTCATTTTTAGTATCTGGGAGTTATTTATAAATGTGCCCTTTGCAAAACTTAGAGTGAAATTACATTATCAGCAATGGCTTCTGGCACCTTTGAACTGGCTGACTTTATGACATGAAGAGAACTGTCAGGCTTCCCACTTGTAGATAAAGGCCATAGGGTGAAGAGGGCCCAGCTAGAGTTAGGAGGTGGCAGGAGAAGTTAGGAGAGCTGGCATTCCTCCTGTGCATTCCTCCTGCCTAAGCCCTCAACTTTCCTTGTGACTTTTCTTTTGCAAATCTGCAATGGTCAGACCTTTGTCCTGCCTTCCCTCCCTTCCCAGAATGTTGGTGCCTGAAAGCTGGTCTCTCCTTTCTCCTTACCCTGTCTTTTATTGTGCCCAAGAAGACTCTGGGTTTCTGCTTTGAGGTTTCTTTGATCACATCTTCTAGGAAGCCAGTGACAAGAGCCGGGAGCAGAACCCTGGGCTGTTTCTCAGTTGTCAGCACGGCTGTTTAGGTGCTTAGACAGTGTTGGCCACAAGAACGTTGGCTCTCCCACTTGGCAGGTGGCCATTAGGGATTTTGGCGTGCGCTGGGGTGGGGGGTGTATGCTCCCATTTCTTCCTGAAATGCCAAACTCTGGCTGCAAGAACAGTCACCAATGCCAGATTAAGGTCCAGTTTCAACTTGTGGGCAGCTAGCTTTCTGTGGTTGCCGTGAGTGTGGATGGAGGGGCATAGCCATTTCCTTTTATTGGGACTTTTGTCCTTAGGAAACTCACCCCCATTGAGGGCTCAATTTTGGTGCTTGAGCTGCTAAGTTACTATAGCACAGAGCCTGCCCTGTGTGGTGCTTTTTCTGTGTAGAACTAGGAGTTAGAAGAGCAACTTCTGTTTGTGATGTCTCAGACTAGACTCAGAAGACTTCCCCTCTGCCAGGCAGCACAACTCCCCAGCTCAGAGGAGGTGTCCTGTCCATTACTCCAGAGGGCAGTATGTCTGGGGTGAGCAGTTTTAAGTGTGCCAGAGGGGATGAGTTGGTGATGGCACCCCAAATGGTCTCACTACAAAATCCACTTAGATGTAAAATCTGGTTCTAGTACATCATCACACCAAGAGATTTCTTTTTAAACTTTATTCTCAGTTTTGAACAAATTTTGAGGACTATGCCAGATATTGCTCTGGATACTTGAGAGGAACAACACAAGAATCAATGAATGCTTTGCTTTGTTTCTTTTTGCTTTTTGAGACAGGGCCTCATAAAAATTAGCCTCCTTAAGAGTTTAAATCAGGCCAGGCAGTGGTGGCCCACACCTTTAATCCAGGCCAGAGGCAGAGGCAGGCAAATCTCGAGTTCAAGGCCAGCCTGGTCTAGGAGTGAGTTCCAGGACAGCTCAGCCAGGACTGTTAACACAGAGAAACCCTGTCTCAAAAAAAAAAAAAAAAAAAAAAAAAAAAAAAAAAAAAAAAAAAAAAAAAAAAAAAAAAAAAAAAAAAAAAGTTAGGAAAACAAAGATTTCATTTCTTAGGTCATTTTCTTTCTTTTGATTTTTGAGATAGGGTTTCTTCTGAGTTCTTGGACTAAAGGTGTGTGTCACCACTGCCCAGTTCTTATCTCATTTTCTTTTTCTTTATAAGTTTATTTTGCATTAGTGTTTTGCCTGCGTGTAGGTCTGTGTGAGGGTGTTGGCTCTTGGAGTTACAAACAGTTGTGAACTTCCCTGTGGTTGCCAGAAGTTGAACCCTGATCCTCTAGAAGAATGGTTAGAGCTCCTAACCACTGAGCCATCTCTCCAGCCCTCTTACCCCATTTTCAAAAGATAAGGTCAGTGAGCTGGAGAGAGGACAGCAGTTAAGAGGCACTGGCTTCTGCTGGGCAGTGGTAGCACACATCTTCAATCCCAGCACTCCAGAGCAGAGGCAGGCGGGTCTCTGTGAGTTCAAGAGCTGCCTGGTCTGCAGAGTGAGTTCTAGGACAGCGAGAGCTACATAGTGAGGCACTGTCTCCAAAAAACAAATTAATTAACTAATTAATTAATTTTAAAAAGGCATTAACTTCCTTTCTAGAGGACCAGGGTTCAACTCCTAGCACCCACATGGCACCTGTAATCCCAATTTTAGGGCCTGTTCTGTCCTCCAAGGTCACCAGCCATATAGATAGTGCACAAACATACATATAAAATAATAAGTGATGGCACTTAGGAGGCAGAGGCGGATGGATCTTGTGGACTCGAGGGCAGCCTGGGCTATACATTGAGAGACCCTATCAATAATAATAATAATAAATAAAAGTTAGAAAAGCCTGGTTACTTCCCATTCTCTTAAAGCTAAGGTTGCCTCTCTCTGTGGCGCCCCACCCCTCCAGAGCCTCACTTTATCTCTGCAGGGCTGCTGTGTCTGAGTACTTCTTCTGCCTCGTGTCTAGATGACCAGGAAAGCAAAGCAGACAGTCTTGCCTTGGCACAAGAAGTAGCAGAAAGTAGTATTTATTGGTGAGATTGTCAAATAATGTGAGTGACAGAGGCCTTCTGTACACAGTGCTAGTTCCTCTTACTCTTTCATTCTGCAAGTTATGAGGACAGAGGAGAGAGCACCAGACTTTCATGTTTGCAGCTGAGAGAGGTGTGAAGTGTTGGCACAGCTGCGGCTGGGGTGTCTGCCGGAGCCAGTGTCAGCTGATTTTTGGAGGGGAGTGGCTGGGGATTAAACCCAGGTGTCCCTGCATACTAAACATTCTCTGTAGCGCTGAGCCACACCGCTAAGCCCTTAGTTCTATTCTCGGTAGTGAGAGAAAACTCCCCTCCTGTTAGCTACCTCCTGGACCCTGGACTTGTGAAATATTTTTCTGTTTACCACACTTAAGATTCAGGTTGATTTTATTATCCTAACAGATTAAGTGATAATGGTTCATACATAGCAGAGGAAAGGTTACATACGTGACTTTTTGGATGGTGTCTGTCTTGGAGACCTGGTGTGTGTATGTGTGTGCACGCATTCACATGTGTGTACAAAATGCTTTTCTCTGCTGTGTTTGGCTTGCTTTGAGACTGCAGTGACTAAGTACACAACCTTCTTTCGGATGAGCAGTGCTCATTCATTATCGTGGTCACATTCCATGCCCACCTGTGCCCAGGAGGCAAGGAGGAGGGTTATTTGGAAAGTGACTTGGCCTTAGGACCTGGAAATAACAGCGTAATCTTTCTTGATGAGAGCTTGCAAGTCTGAGCTGTCTGTGAGTCTGCTTTGGAGCCTCCTATTGACACCTTCCTCAGTTCAGTTGTCTACCTCCACTTGGTTATCCTCGGGGGCCGTAGGGGGCATAGACCCCAGTGGGACCAGGGAAGGAAGCTATTAGGCTTGCTAGTAGTAGTGGAGCCCTCAAAACTGAAGCTGTGCTCATATTTCCTCAGGAGCCCTCCCTGTACACTGTCAAGGCCGTCCTGATTCTGGACAATGATGGAGATCGACTCTTTGCTAAGGTGAGATTTCCTTTCAAGAGTATCATGATTTTGAAAATTCTTCTGTCTTACCTTGACCACTCCAGATAAATCCAAGTTGACAATTTTCTGTCCCTTGGAGTGCTTTCTTCCAGCTGTGCTCAGACCTTGACCTTCCTCTGTCATCCTCATCAGAGCAGGAAGAACTTGGTACCTTAGTTTCTAAAACACAACAGTTTCCTCAATGTTAGAAGCTGTCTGTCTATGTCCCGACTGTCCCTGTCTCTCTTACTTTGTCTTGCAACCTGACTTTTTCCCGGGAGTCTTCCAGTTTCTGACTTGTAGCCCTAGGTTTGTGGTGTCCTCACCACACTGCATGCCCCTGTGAGGCGTTGCTAACTTTGGATGGATTGAGAGGAGAAAGGACACCCCTCTCCTTCATTTTCCCCCTCCTGTAGAAATACCTTCTGTCCCTGGTGTATTAACTCTGGGCGAGCAGAGCATAAATCAATCAGCAGGTGGAGATTAGTTAGAATTCACCAGCTGTTCCTCCCTGTAATTGGATGTAACTGTGCAGGACACCTTTGGAAACAGTTATCCAGTTACTAAATGCCAGACCTGTCATAGTCTTCAGCTGACTGCGATGGATTAGCCCCGAAAGAGCAGGCGATTTAGCAGCCTGCATCTCCAGCCCCTTGCTAGGAGTGCTTGGGAGTGGGCTGTGTGAAGTGCTTAACTGCCCCCTTCTCTGAGCTGGCAGAAACAGCCAAGATGTGCAGGAGAACAGTGCATGGATTTGCCTTGCTGTGGAAGAGATTTGTATGGCCTTTCTCCACTACTCAGTAAAACAGTGGTTTCTCCAGACAGGTGGTGGTGGCACACACCTTTAATCTTAGCACTTGGGTACTCAGGAAACAGAGTCAGGTAGATCTTTGAGTTCAAACCCAGCCTGGTATACAAAGCTAGTTTCAGGACAGCCAGAGTTTCTACTCTGTCTGGAAAAACAAAACCATCTCCCCCTTATTCACCCCCAAAAGAAAGGACTGGTCTTGCTGCAGTGACTGGGAGTCTGAGGATGTACTCCTGTATCTAGTGTGCTTATTCCTAGCACTGCCCTGACCAGGGTAGCCCCTGGGAAGTATGTAGTGGGCGTGTCCTTAGGAGAGCTGCTAGGTCTTTGCCCTCGGTCTTAGAGATGGCATTAGGACAGTGGGACCGATTACAGGACAGTCCCCCACACATGTTTCTTTTGTGGGTGTGTGTGGTTACTAGAGAAAGTCAGAGAAGGGCTTTCAGGAGTTGGTTCTCTTCCTCTACCTGTGGGCTCTGGACATCAGACTCAGGTTGGAGCTTGGCAGCAAGCATTTTTCTTTTCTCTCCCTTCCTTTCTTCATTTCCCCCTCTCTCCCTTCTCTTTCCCTCCTCCCTCATTCCCTCCATCTCTCCCTCTTTTTCTTCCATCACCACTCCCATTCCCTGCCTCTGCAGACATTTCTTAGTATTCCTTTCCCACCCCGAGTAGAACAATCACTAATCATCTGGGCTCGCAGCTATGATGACCCAGCCCTGTCTCCTTTCCTCCCACTAGTACTATGACGACACCTATCCCAGTGTCAAGGAGCAAAAGGCCTTTGAGAAGAACATTTTCAACAAGACCCATCGGACAGATAGTAGGTCCTTCACTATTCTCTGTGTTGGGGGGAAACCATGGGAAAGGGGTGTCAGCAAGACTGTAGAAAAAGATAAAATGATGCGGCCTCCTCTCCTCTTTCTTTTCTCTTCTTCCCCTCATATAATAAACTCTTCAGAAATGTAATGGGGAGGTGAGTGTACCTCATGCGGGAATACCGTGCTAGAAGCTTGGCTGTTAGCTACCTGTCTAGTCCCTGGATTTATGAGCCTCACCTGACAAATTTAACTGCAGCTCTGCTTATTGTACCGCATCCATTAGGGCAGGGAAATGGAAGCCTGTAAAGGTGACCGCTCTGCATTTTCACCTCCGAAGGATCGCTGGTATCCTGCCTCATACACAGGGAGGAAAGTAGGTGCAGTGGGGGAGGGAGAGTTAGAGAACATGTATTTAGACTCCCCTGAGTTTCTGTGTCCCTTCTGCCAACCCCATAAACAATAGATAGCTTCAGTGCCTGGAGGTCATTACAGTTGACCTTTCCTTGGCCCACACAGCTGTCCCCAGGGATTCATGGGAACTCCTATTTTGTCTCCTCCCACCATTCAGTTTCTGCTTTCTTCCCAAGGTGAAATTGCTCTGTTGGAAGGGCTGACAGTGGTCTATAAAAGTAGCATCGATCTCTATTTCTATGTGATTGGCAGCTCCTATGAAAATGAGGTGAGAATCCCTGCCCATTTGCTACCTCTGATGTTGCTTCTGAAACCATAGAAAACTAATGGGACACAGCCATTAGTTTTGGACTTTGTAGAGCCACATTCCTCCGATGTCTGGCAAGGTCTTTTAGACCTTTTAAAAGACTTAAGTCTTTTAGAGGTCCCTGTCAGCATACAAAGTGACCCAGTCAAAGAGTTAGAAAGGAAGTTTTCCCAGTTTTTTTTTTTTTTTTTTTTTTTTTTTTTTTTTTTTTTTTTTTTTTTTTTTTTTAAGGAGCAGAATCTTACTGTATAACACAGGCTATTTTCAAGTCTGTTTCCAGGTGTTGGAATTATAGGTATGAGTCACCATGTCCAATTAGAATGTTTTTAGTATCCTTCCCTACACAGTGACTGTTTTAGATTTTGTTTGTTTGGTTTTGAGACACACATTGTAGTTCAGACTGACTTCAGACTCTCAGCAGTTCTCCCGTCTCAGCTCCAATGCTGAGATACAGGCGTGAGCCAGTAATGTCAAGTTCCCACAGTGTTGTTTAAGGTGTGGTCAAGGGTGTGTACTCTAGATGGGTGAAGCCGTGTTGGATGAAGTCTCACACTGTAAGAGGGACCGTGAGTGCAGTCCTGACCTTCCTGTGTGCAGGAAATCTGTTTATTTCAGGTGGGAGAGTAGGCAGGTAAGTAAGTCACTAGGTAATTTTCCATCATAGTTAAAGACTTTGGGAAACCAGGTCCTGCTGAGCTCTCTGGGCTATGCACAGACTCTGGGAAGTGTATTGTTTTAGCTTGGCAGCATTCTGGGGGTTGGAGGCATTACTATTTTTGTTTTACCAATGAGAAAAGCAAATCACAAAGAATCATAAAATTTCTTGTATTTGGCATTTGTCAAACTACAGAAGTAGCTGTTTTATGAGCTTAAACTCTGTTGGGTAACAAATGTAGAATCAGCTGAGATTCAAACCTAGTTCTGACTCAAGAGCCCAAGCTGAGGCTGGAGACGCAGCTTAGCAGTGAAATATGTGCTTAGCAAATTTGAAATCCTGAATTTGACCCCTAGTATCATTTTTAAAAAGGACCTTGGGCTGAGGTGGGAGGCTGGAGAGATGGCTCAGTACTTATGGCTGCTCTTCCAGAGATCCTGAGTTCAATTCCCAGCAACCACATAGTGGCTTACAACCATCTGTAATGAGGTCTGGTGCCCTCTTCTGGCCTGCAGGTGTATGTGCAAGGCACTCATACATAAAATATTAATAAATAAATAAGTTTTTTAAAAGGACGTTCTACCACCTTCCTCTGGCTTCAGCTTTTGCTGGATTTATGATTTCTCTCCTTACTGACCCATCGGGTAGCTTAGTAAAGACATAGAGGTAGGGGCAGGAGATGGCTCAATTGTTAAGAGCACTGGCTGTTCTTCCAGAGGTCTTGGGTTTGATTCCCAGCATCCACATGGTGACTCACCACTGCTTATGACTCCAATACCAGGGGATCCAGTGCCTTCTTCTAGCCTCTTTGGGCCCTGCACCTGTGTGATACACAGATACAGATGCAGACAAACATGAGCATCCATGCTTTCAACTAACAGAGACATAGAGGCAGAGAGGCATGACAGTGCACACACTTGGGAAGTATAGTCAGGTATTCAGGGTCGTCTCAGTTATATAGCTAGTTAAAGACCAGCTTAAGCAATGTGAGACACTACTACACAAAAAGAAAACACAGCTGGAGATATTGCTTACTGTTAGATTGCTTGCTGTTCTTTCAGAGAACTGAATTTGGTTTCTCTGTTGGGCAGCTCACAACCATCTGTAACTCCTGCTCAAGTGGAGTACAGTGCCCTCTTCTGGTCTTTGTGGGCACCTGTATATTTGTGGCACATACACACAAATAAAAATAAATCTTGCTGGGCACGCCTTTAATCCCAGGCAGAGGCAGGCGGATCTCTGTGAGTTCGAGGCCAGCCTGGTCTACAAGAGCTAGTTCCTAGACAGGCTCCAAAGCTACAGAGAAACCGTGTCTCATAAAACAAACACACACACAAAAAAAAACCCACTTTAATTAATAAAAAGCAAATACACAGAGAACTAAGATACATGAGGGCTATGTCAGCAAAGTTCTGTTTGAATTTCTGTCTTAAAGAAACCTTCACTTAACACAGTTGGTGCATATCTTTAAACCCAGCAGGCAGGCAGATCTCTGTGAGTTTGAGGCTGGCCTGGTCTACAGAGCTAGTTCAAGGACAGCCGAGGCTTTACAAAGAAACCCTGTCTCAAAGAAAGGGAGGGAGGGAGGGAAGGAAGGAAGGAAGGAAGGAAGGAAGGAAGGAAGGAAGGAAGGAAGGAAGGCAGGCAGGCAGGCAGGAAGGAAGCCTCCACTTGTGGAATTGTTTAGCAGAATTAACTTCTCTGAGAAACCAGAGGCTAATTCTGTTGTGTTTGCAACTCACATTATGTCTCTGGTCATTGTGAAAACCTGTGTGTGTTGCTAAGGAAGCAAGTGGAGGGGTTTGCTTTGGGGTAGCAGTTTTAGGGCCTTGAACCTTCTGTCTCCTTTCTCAACAGTTGATGCTTATGGCTGTTCTGAATTGCCTGTTTGACTCCTTGAGCCAGATGCTGAGGTGAGCAGTGGTTCTCAGTTTACACTGGGAAGAGAAAGTACCTCTCCCTCAGGGCCTGGAATTTGTGGGAAATGAGAGCCACACTGGGGAATTGGTTCTTTGTGAGCACGATTCTCCTATGGAATGAGAGGAGTCTCTGTCTCTCCTTTGGCTTCACTGATGATTGAACTTGGTAGGCAATGGTTCTACACTGAGCTACTCACCCAAACCTTTTATTGTGTTTTCTTTTAATTTAAGACAAGATTTTACTAAGTTGTCTTAGAACACTGTACCCCAGGCAGCTCTTGAACATGTAATTGCCTGCTTCAGTCTCCAGAGTAGTTGAGAGTACTTGCATGCACCATTGTGTCCTTGTCTACGCTTGACATGACCAGTGATTCTGACAGTGTTCTGAGCCCCTAGGTGTTTTCCTAGGCTTTGTCCTCTGCAATTGCTGGCGGGGAAGGACAAGGAAGGTGTCCCAGGTGAAAAATTGCCCGTCTCCATTAGTACCGCCTTTATAGTCTCCGTGACCATAGAATGGCCCCACTGTTCTCTTGGCCCTACTTACCTCCCCATGCACACAGCAAGAAAAAATGTAAGATACTTTCTCTGAAAACATTCAAGGTGCTGAACCTCATCCACAGCAGCTCCTAAGTGAAGGCATTTTAGAGATCCATCCGGAGGGGAACAGCAGGCGCTCTCAGCCCACAAACCAGCAGGCCAAAGGCTCAGGTTTCCTCAGGAAGGGGGATGATTTATTTCCCAGCCAGGTGGATGAATAGACTTAATTTCGGGTAATCTAGAGAAAAGAGTCGCACTGACGGATGTGACAGGCCACATGCACAAACCACCGGATCTGTGGCTGGTGGATGCAGCCCCTGGCTGTTCCTCACCCCTCTTTGGCCTTTGTTTTAGGGCTTGAACAGACCTGGGGGGAGGGGGAAGGCAGAGAGACTTCACAAGTTTGTCAGCACTTGAGTGCAGACAGGATTTGCATCCTACCCCTCCCACCTTCAGCACCCACTCCAGACTAAGCTGTACTCACCACCAGCAGCATTCTGGGTAGTCAGCCCAGGAGCCAGAAGTTGGCTGTTTGGAATCCCTTTCTTGATATTCAGACAGTGGCCCAGGATCCCTTTCACACACAGTCTGATTTTTCTCTTTTGGGGATTTAGGAAGAATGTAGAAAAGAGAGCTCTGCTGGAGAACATGGAGGGGCTCTTCTTGGCTGTGGATGAAATTGTAGACGGAGGGTGAGTTCTCTGCCCTGCCTGGATTTGGAGTGGGAAAGGGAAGTGGCTGCCCCTGTTCCAAGTCACGTGGGATGGCCAGCCAGTGATCCCTGCCTTTGGGACTGGACAAGCAAGCAGTGATCTTCTCTGTGTTTGTAGGGTGATCCTAGAGAGCGACCCCCAGCAAGTGGTGCACCGCGTGGCTTTGCGGGTAAGCAGGAATGTGCAACCCCTTCTCTCCACAGGTTCTCTCAAGCTAAGCTTACTGAGTGTAGCTGAGAGTGCAGCTCCGAAACATATCCTATCTTTTCCTATCCTTAAACTTGTGTGGATCCTTCTCCTGCCTTTCCACCCCAGTGCACCAGTAGCAAAGGAACTTGTTTGTTTTTCTAACATGGAACCTAGCATTTTATATGGTCTTGCACAAAATGGCCACTTTAATGTAAACATATCAATGAACATGAACAAAGTAAAAGAAGCATTAAAATTCATGGTTCTGAGCCGGGTGGTGGTGGCGCACGCCTTTAATCCCAGCACTTGGGAGGCAGAGGCAGGCGGATCTATGTGAGTTCGAGGCCAGCCTGGTCTACAAGAGCTAGTTCCGGGACAGGCTCCAAAGCCACAGAGAAACCCTGTCTCGAACAACAAAAACAAAAACAAAACAAACAAACAAACAAAAAATTCATGTTTCTGAAACTATAAAGGAGCATGAGGTTGGCTTTGAGAATGGATCCAGTCATCAAAGGCGTTGGAGTGTCTTTCCTGTCTTAGTCTGATGGAACCCCCAGGAAGTTCTTATTTGCCAGCACCTCAGCCCTCCTTGGCGCTCGTGATGGCAGAAAGGAATCTGGGGTACTGGCAGGAAGCTTCGTATCTGCTCAGGGAGATGATAGTGTGTGCACAGAGTCCACCTGGGAGATGATAGTGTGTGCACAGAGTCCACCTGGGAGACAATAGTGCGTGCACAGAGTCCACCTGGGAGACAATAGTGCGTGCAGAGTCCACCTGGGAGACGGTAGTGCGTGCAGAGTCCACCTAGGAGACAATAGTGCATGCACAGAGTCCACCTAGGAGACAATAGTGCATGCACAGAGTCCACCTGGGAGACGATAGTGCGTGCACAGAGTCCACCTGGGAGACGATAGTGCGTGCAGAGTCCACCTGGGAGACGATAGTGCATGCACAGAGTCCACCTGGGAGACGACAGTGCGTGCAGAGTCCACCTGGGAGACGATAGTGCATGCACAGAGTCCACCTGGGAGACGACAGTGCGTGCAGAGTCCACCTGGGAGACGGTAGTGCGTGCAGAGTCCACCTGGGAGACGACAGTGCGTGCACAGAGTCCACCTGGGAGACGGTAGTGCGTGCAGAGTCCACCTGGGAGACGACAGCGCGTGCAGAGTCCACCTGGGAACTGGTTCAGTGATGTCAGATCAGAGCAGCACTGCCAGTTCCCAGTGTCCCGGCCCTGACCGCCAGAGTGAAAGTTGCCAGTGCTGGGTAATGGGAAGGCTTCTCCCTTAACTGCCGTGGGCTCCATTTGCATAGTTTAATCTTCTCCTCTAACATATGTCTCTATGTGGCAAGAGAGGGGGTCCCACCCACTGGCTCCCCCTTCCCCTTCTCAGGCTGCTGTTGCAGCAGTTTATTTCTTCAAATTAACATGCCGTCGTTACCCATGAGGCCTTGCGGTATCCATTAAACTACCCCTGGCTCCCTTTATTCCCCCCTTGATATTGATATTCATGGAAGGTCTTCTCTGACTAGGGAATCAGGTCCTCATCCCAGAGTTGAGGGAGGTAAGGATCAGATATCCCGCTGATTACTTGGAATGAACTAACCCTTTTAAGAAGTTCCCTGCCTCTCAGTGGAGGGTGGATAAAATGACCCTTTGTGTTGACAGTCCCTCTGGCCAGTAAAAGTGTGGCTTGGTCTTTGGAAGAAGGGGCTGAGAAGTTTAGGGTATTTGCTTTTGCTTCAGACTCCAGTCTAAACACTTATCTCCATACAGGGTGAGGACGTCCCCCTTACAGAGCAGACCGTGTCTCAGGTATGACTCTTCCTCCCTCCTTTCCACATGTTATTACAGAGCCTAACAGCCAAGTCTGAATTGAGACCTCACATCAGTGAGGTGGCCTGGCTGCCTCAGCCATGCCCTCTTCTCTCACTGTGACCGTGACTGTCAGCCTTGCTCTCTGTACCCTTCAAACCTTCCCTGCCAGATACCTCAGGCGGTGATTTATTCCCCGGCAGAGACTTGCCTTAAGCAGATGGTCTGTGTGCCTATGAGCACACACTCCTCTTTCTCTTATTATTCAAATGAGGGCTGAGCTGGAAATGCATATTCTGAACTGTGCAGACTGCAGATCTGTCCTTCTGCCTTGACTGCAGATGACTGTCTACTGACCTGGGGCTGCAAGGGAGAGTTCTGAGTCTGCCCAGTAGGGATCCTCATCATCTGGCTGTGTAATCTCCTTTTTATAACTGTGTCCAATAACCCCCAGCTTTTCTTCTTTCCTCCCAGGTATACCTCTTCTCTCTTCATCCCCCCAGTGGATTTGAATTCGGGGGGACTTTCCCAAACTGACAATCCTCTAGGGCCTTAGAGAGCTTCCTCCTATCCTTCCACCCTTGGGATTTTCTATCCCCAGTTCTTCTAAGGAGAGGGAAGGCAAGTGTGGGGAAGGAGAGCCTCAGCCTGCTCACACCCGGGGGCTTGCAAGCCCTCCTCAGTGCTGCCTTTGTCTCTGCAGGTGCTACAGTCAGCAAAAGAACAGATCAAGTGGTCCCTCCTTCGATGAAGATGTTTCATGCCCAGTTCCTTGCGCCTCAAAACCCCACATCTGCTATGACTTCTTATCCAGGCCCCCAACAGATGCTCTTAGGGTCATGTTGGAGAATCACAATGGACCCTTGCATCTCTGTCCTTTCTAGGGTCCTTTGTCCCCCACTTCCTTCCCACTCAAGGGCAGATTTGAATGAGGCAGGGGAAACACCCTCTTCCTACTACACTGGTTCTCCCACCCCCACATTCTCTCCTGGCCCTTTTCTATGGCTGTACTTCAGATCAAAGCAGGAGAAAGAATGTGCTGCGTGTTTCCCTCCCTGTGCCCCAAGGGCCCTCATCCCACCATCCCTTATGTCCAGCAAAGGGAGGACTCCTTCCTTCAGTCCAAGTGGGTCTGGCGTGGCAGGGGCTGCACAGCTTCTCTCCTTCCTGCTGCCCTGTCCTCTGCCTTGAAGAGATTGGGAACAGAGCTGCAAAGGGACAGTGATTTAACTGCTGTCCGTGAGTGTGCAGGCAGTGCAGTCTCTGCTATAATCTGCCCTTCAGCCTCAAGGCTGCTGTGCCTACTCTAGGTCTGTACCACACCTCTCCCAGGTCTTTGCCTGGTGTGGCCTCTGGTAGCCTGGAGCAAAGCCAGACCTTGGAACTAAAACAGAGGTGGCTGCCAGAAGTTTGTACACAGAACCTGGAAGAAAGGGTCCTTCATGACTTGGTCTTGCCGTCTTCCTTCTCTGCTCTCGCGTTCCTACTCCTCTGCCGTGGTTCTGCAGTCTGCTCTTCAGCTCTCTCTCTCTGCCCCAGCCTTCCCCTCAGCCGAGGGGCTGGTGCCTGCCTTTCTTCTAAGGCTTGGATTCCCGTTCTTGGTTGAAATGTTGCCCCTTGACCCCACATCTCCGTGAAAATGTCTTAGAAAAACGTTCCCCTGCTTTGGCTGAAGTGGGCAGATTGGAGGTGGCCTCTGCAAGAAATGGAGTCAGGCGAAGTACAGTACGTTGCTATGCGTCAGAGGAATAAAGCGAATCTCTTCCAAACTGCCTTTGTGTGATGGTTCTGTTCCTCCGTTTTTTTGGCAGCTATTCCTGTTCCTCCAACCCCCCTCCACCTCTCCTTATAATATTTCTTCCTACCTCAGAGACTCCCCAGCACTCCCGCCCCTAATTTACGGGGCTGTTTGCCTCCTTGGCATCTCTCGGTCCCCTCGCCTGGAAATTGGCGCCAGGGGTGGGGTGGGGATGGTAATTTCTCAGTGGGAGACTTGGGGAACCGAGTTCTTCCCCACACACCCCCAAAGCCAGCTGCCTGCTCCCGCTTCAGCCATTAGTAACCCGGAGACGTGCACCTGCGTGGGGGCTCTCCTCCAGCCCCTACTCCCTTCCCGCACCTCCCATTCCTCTGAAAAGGCACTGTGCGGGTTATTTATCGGAGCCAGTGCTGCTCCAGAAGGTCAGGACGGTGGTGTAAATAACCTCTTCTCGCCATTTCCCCGTCCCTCCAGAGCCCGCTCCCCTCCCCCTTTTCCACCTTTATTCGCACAAATGAATGTGGCTGGGCTGGCGTAGAGCCTGGCCCTGCATCTTAATGGGGCGGTGAGCTCACAAGATGGATTTAGCTGGGGGTTTTATGGTTGCTGCGGCGACAGGAGAATGCTTTGGTTTTCTTTCTCCCGTCCTCTGCAGGATTTTAAGGAGGGGCAGTGTAGGGACTCTTCCTCGCCACTGAGATTTGAAGGGTCTCCTCAGTCACCTCGACTGTTCTGACATGGGCCTGCAAACCTGGACCGTGGAGGCTAAGGGAAGGAGGAAGGAGGCAGAATGGGAAGACCCTCTCTGCAGGGCAAGAAGCCAGTGGTTTGAACATTCCTTTCTCCTCTAGGAAAACCTGGAACTTGGGCTCTGCATCTGTGAAGTACCTGAGCCCAAGATGCTCCTAAGCAGACAGAAAGTGATGTACTGGACCGTCCCTGTGTGGTCCCTGAACTGGAAGGTAGAGAGCCGCAGGGGAAGAGCTGTGATGCCTCTGCCTACAGTCCTCCGGCCAGCAACTTCCTTTTGGGGCTCTACAAACCCGTCCTTAGTTAGCACTGACTAAAACAGACACAGCAGGGGCCTGGACTGTCTGGTTTGCCTCCCCCTCCTGTTTGTGAACCTTTCCCCCTTCCCCAGGGAATTCTAGGAGGCCCTCCTCCCTTTTCCCCCTTTGGCTGGGAAAGAGACTACAGTCTGAACAGTGCCAGACACCTGCCTGCCAGATGTGGCGGTTCCCCACACTGCCCCCACCCCACCGAGCCCAGGCAGAGGGAGCCCCCCACAGGGTGATTTACTGCCACAGTCTCCTCCTCAAGTGCCCCCTTCAGGCTTCTCAGGCCTGGTGCCCATGCTCCCCTCTTCCCACCAAGGCCAGGAAGCCTCCTCCCACTAGGACTGCAGGGCCCTGGGCTGGGGGAGCTCTGGCTCCCTCTCTGCCTGAAAAAGGAATGGGTCGGTAAAGGGTGACACCCTTGCTACACCCCTGGGAAAGAAATCAGCAGCAGGACTGAGGAGTGTGTCAGCCAGAGCTGATGTCATTCTCAGCAGGGAGGACGGGGACGGAGTAGGCTAACAAAATGGAGCCTGTATTCCAGAACTAGATGCAGTGGGCTGAGATAGACCAAAGACCATGCCTGGGGCTGGGTTGTGGACTTTGAAGTTCCACATCTCTGGTTGGGTCTCTAGGCCTCATGTCTCCATCTGTGTTTCATATAAGCCCACAGGTCCGCCTTCTTTCTTTGGTGTTTCCCTTTTGGTGTCCTCTTCCTATGTCTTCCTGGGTCTCAGCTCTCCTCCTTCTCTCTGCTTACCTCCCAGGCACCCTGGCTCTACCACTTCCTGGCCAGAGTAGAGCCCGCTAGCATCCACTAAAGCTGGGACCCATGTAGTCTGTTTTCCTTGTCTATCCTTGTAACCTGACACCCAAAGTTCTCTGCAGGGTTGCAACAGGGTTCATGGTGGAACTGAGGATGGCAGTGTCTGTCGGGGCTGGAAAGGGGAAGAAGGACATAAGTGGGAAAAAGAAGCAGTGAAGGCAGAGGCAGAAGCGGAGAGAAGTGAAAGCGGTAATCTGGGAGAGAAATCTGTACAAAGAAGGCAAACAGGGCTAGAGCAGAGAAAGAACGGAGGTGGAGACAGAAGACAGCTCAAAAAGGCTGCTGGGGAGGGGCCAGAAGAAGGCAAGCTGGCTCTCCTGGGCTGCTTTATGCTGGCAGGTCATAAATCATGTGTGTGCACATGACACATGTATGTGGGGGCCCGAGGTCCTGAAAAGGATGGTGTCCACAATATTATCCTTTCGGCAGCCTCTTTGAGGCTCCTCACACCATGTCCCAGTATTCTTGATGCTCCAGAGACCATTCTGAAGGTACTTCCATGTCTTCTCAGGAACCCGGACTTTCTCACTTAGAATACAATCCTGCTGGAATGTTCAGGACCCACAGAACAATCAAAAGGTCCCATCCCCTCACTGCACACTCCATGGCTGCCCACCAGCCGCTCCTGTCCATCTCCTCTTCCCACTCTTCTTGTCTGTCCCCTCCTCTGCAGCAACCCCTCCCCCAGACTCTGGAGCCTGGGTCAAAGGGGAGACAAAGACAGGATTTATTACCAGTGTAGAGAAGCAGTCAGAGCAGGGCTGAAGGCAAGGACTGACCTCCCTACCATGGGAGGGGACACTGGGCTGTTAGAAAAGGCTGGAAGCCTGGGCTTTTCTGGCTCCTGCCCATAACCCCTAGTGTTCAACTCAACCTTGCTGCTTCCTTTTCTCTGAAAACAGAGAATATGCCCCTGAGGCATTTTTGGCCTCTAAATGAAATTTTGAGAGGGAAACAGATGAGACTCCTGTCACAGGGTCATCCTCTTATGGGTATTGAGTAGGACTGGAAACCAGAGGCAACCGGGCCTCTAGTTGTTTCTTAGGTTAGGAAAATCAGGGATGTGGTACAGAGGACTGCTTTCTAATTTACAGAGGGCCCTCACATAGCAGGCCAGTCAGGTCACCAGCAGGAAGGGAAGTAGGGGTCTTGAAGGACAGGAGGCATGGTTCCAGCTGAAGATAAGGCAGCAGGGCTGCTCACAGTTTACCATCTCTGCCTCCTGGGGATCCTCCCTTTCAGGGCACACAGAAAAAGCTGCCTTTGGCATCAGTTGGCCTTGGATTGTCTCCTCAGCAGACAGGATGTCTGGAGGATAGGTAGCGTGATGAGGGGTTCTGAGAATCCAGACTGCTGATCTTCTGTGGGTGGACTCTTAACTTTCCCCATGGAGACCCCTCCAAAATCTTGGTACTCCTGGAATCCAACACCCTGCTTCCTGCCTAACAGACGCTAGAGAGCAAAGTGGAAGAGCACTGAGCCTTCCCCTCAGTCCCAGCAACCCATTTCTACCCAGAGCGGATGAGGGAAAACTTGAGATCCGTTCCCCAGCTCCTCCATACGGAGCAATCATTGTCTCTATTTCTGAGGAAAAGCTAGAAGTTGGAAATTTTACTGGAAAGGGTAATGGAATGGGAGAAAACAAAAGAATTGGGAGGGGGCAGGAAAAAGGAGAGGAGATCCTGTCTTTTTTCTTACCCCCCCCCCACTTCCCTCCATCGAGGAGGCAGATTTACAACCTTGGTGTTGGGGGGAGGAGAGCATAAGGAAGACAGATCTGCAGTTTTGCCCTCGGAGTGTCTGGGTACTTAGCTTTAACTCCCCCATTAGCATCAATCCCCATCTTGCTGCCCATCCGTCTTCTGACATCAGCTCCTTCCTCTCTCTGCAGGCCAGGTTTTCTGACCCTAAGTGGCTCTTAAAGGGCCAGTCTAGACCCTTCTCCTCTTTCCCCCATCTCACTGCGGGAAGGCGGGGGTATATATATACATACATACTGTGGCCATTCTTGCTGAGGCCAGTGTCACCCGGGTCATGGGTGGGGACAGGGTGACTTCCCCAATTCTCTGTAGACCCCCCCTTATGTCATGGCCCCTATCCTTTGTCTGCTACCTCCCCACGCCTAGAGCCAAGACGCTGCTGGCCAGGGGTTGAGAACTGGAGAAAGCACGTGGATCCTTAGGCAGATACCCCACCCCACCCCACCCCCCTGCCCATTTCCTGGAGGCCCAGGGCGAGGAGTGTTTTTAATTCTCAGCTAGCAATGGGGGTGGATAGGTTGGGGACGGAGGCTCCTAGGAGATGCATTGGGCGCCACATTCCTAGCCTTCTTTCCCAAGGATCCAGGATGTGGGCTCGGTGGGAGATTTTAAATCCCTTTTCTGTGAGGGAGATGTCTACCCCGAGAAACCTGCTTGCTAGCGCCTCTCCCCCATTCATTCCTCGGCAACTGAGTTTAGAGGTTAAGTAAAGGCAGATTTCTCCCAGTCTTCTGTAGAAAGGCTGTAATTGCCCACCAGGGCTTTCAAGAACGACAGTATGCTCACAAAGTTCCTCCCTGATCTGCCTTCCATCCTATAAGTTGCAAAACTCAGCAGGCATCGGCGGGGGCTCTCAAGGGCCGAACCATTCTAACTCTTTTGCAGGTATCGAAAGCCCACCACCCACAGCCCCGGAGCTCCCTCTGGCTTGAGATTAGAGGGAGCCGCTGATGGGGTCCTTGGCTGATGGGGGCCGTGTCCGAAATAGGAGCCCCCATCGCATCCCAGCGGCCCCTTATTTATCACCCTCCAAACCTCACTCCCAAAGAAACATAAATATTCTTAATTCCTGAAGGCCGAGTCTAAACTCGTAAATCTAGGAGGTGGGTGGGAGGGGTCCCGCGCAACAAACGCGACAGAGCTCCCAGGGCTGCGCGCCGCCGACCTCGGGCCCGCCGGTCTTCCGAAGCGGCGCGGCGGGCACGCGCGGCGGGCACGCGAGGACGCGGGGGAGGGGCGCGCGGCCTCGCTCCCAGGCGCGCCCCACCCCCCTCGGCGCCCACCAAGCTGTAAATCAGGGCCGAGGCCGCTGGGCCAATGGCAACGCGACTCGTAAATCGACCTGTCAAGAACAGCCAATGAGAGGTGG